TAATTTATTTATTTTTTATAATAGACTTTTCCAATGCAATTCATCTTTTGATTTCCTGACTGCTGGTGCCAAGAGTGTTGATTGTGGAATGAAGCAAGCTGAAATTATCAGCAATCTCAATCTCTTCTCTGTCTATTACAAAGCTGCCAATTGGCCCAGTGGTGAGAATCTTTGTCTTCTGGATGTTGAACTTCAATGTGTATTGAAGATTATAGCCTTTGGCAGCAAATGCCTCATGTCCTACTAAGTTTCAGAAAGCAATTGTCAATCACTTTCAATTATGTTTTAGAACTGTTGCTGTGTGCCACTGAGTCAGAACTAACCCATAAATGACTATCTGGTAGATTTTCAGAGAAAGTAAATCACACAGTAGAAGACTGTCCAGTCTTCGCCCACAGAGAAGCTGGTATATTTGAACCGTGTGACTTAAAGACTTTACTGGAACTTATTATCAGAAGGCCAGCAGAGCTCCCTTCGAAGGCTATTTTAAATCTGTAAGTCTGTAACTGTTAGTGTAAAAAAATACTCAGGAGAAAGGAAGCAAACAAAACACATACCACAAATAAAACCCAGCTAAACAAAAGATTCACAATACAGAGGGCGCTCTGGTGGCCTCGTGGCAAGAAGCTGTACTGCAATCCTGAACGCACATGGTTAAAGGCTACTAGCTATTTCAAAAAAGAACAGGCAATCTCCTCCTGTGAGATTAACTGCCTCTGAAAACTTACTGGAGGGTCAGCTACAGATTGGCTCTGACTCTATGGTATACAACAAAAACAACATATAGAAGTTTTACAATAAAATATCTTTAAAACAATGAGAAAATTAATGCATTCTACACAGATGAACTTAAGAGCAGCTTACCTGTACAGTCGCATTTCACTCAGTTTTATCGCTATCAAATCAATAACAGGTGGAGGGTTGCTCTGACTCTCTGTTATCATATGAAAGGTATTAGTCATTGTAATGAGTCCAAAGTCAGCAATAAAAACATTTTCCGAAACCGGAGACTGTGGAATGACCACAACAGGGGCTTTGATGTTAATGTCCAGCGCCATCCTAGAACTCCTTTTTGCCAGTTCTTTCACTCCAGTAGCAGCCATTTCTGCTGCCTGAACAGTAGCCTCAGTCAAGGCCTGTTTGGCTGCTTGAAAGTTGTCTATAAAAGCCTAGAAAGTTTTTAAAAAATTCTTAAAACTTCTCAACAGTAAAGTTTATTATATGTACACTGATGTTTACGATTACACATCCATGGAATTCAAAGTCTGAATACCTAGTAACTAATTTTTGTGGTGCAAGATTTGGGAAACAAAAAGATACCAATACAAGATCCAATGATGATGGATTTTATAAAATATAATGCATGAGAATGACTGTATAAAACACAATGTGAATAAAGGATAGTGTGAAACACAATGTATATAAACTTTCTAAGCAAAGCAATAAAAAAATGCAAAACAGAATGTATAGGATTGATTGTATGAAATACAATATAAATGAAAGCTGCATAATATAAAGGAAACACAATGCATATGAATGAAACATAATGTAAAGGAATTATATGAAAACCAATTAAAAATATTTTTCTAAAAAAAGATACTGATATTATATACAATAATAAAAAATTCAGTTTCTGGAAAAAAACATGGATAGCAGATTTGGTTATCTATATCCCATATGATATTATTTTATATAATGTAAAGTAATGGCTTAACAACCACATTATAACTCTATATAAAATTTCAACAGGCAGAAATCTTAAGAACATGTATTTTTTAAAAAAGAAAACAATAAAATGTTTCATTAAAAACTCTAAATCAGAAATCCACAATCAAGTAAGGAGAAGCAGAGATTGTAGTTCATCTTTTGGGTCAGATTCCCACACAAGACAGAAAAAAACCAAGAAAATGAAGGAGCAGCAGAAATGGCAGAAAAGCACAGGCTGTATTTCTGAGCATGAGCTATCAATAGAAGTTTGTTATAAAAGTCAATACTTGTCTCTCTTTAATATTGTTGCTGTTGTGTGCTATCAAGTCAGAAATGACCCCTTGAGGCACAGTCTGAACTGCAGCCAGAGGCAGAGCCCAGCGCCCGAGCCCAGGCTCACCAGCTGAGTGGAGGGCAGGCATGCAAAGAACTGGCAGCATTAAAAGAGCTTTGTAAGCCTGGCTGAGAACAGTGCGATAAAGGTCTGCGTGACAAGGCTGGTCCACAGCTTACAGAAGGAAACCTGGGAGAAGGCTTGCTTTCTAGCATGCCTCAGAAGAAGCGGTCCTGCATGAAGAATTAATTATATCCTAAAAGTTTCAAATCTGAGTTGCAATCTGTTACTTCCTTAATAAATGCCATAATCTTGGAGGCAGGGAGTCCTCTATATCAAGGTTTCTAACTTCTGAATTCTGGAAAAATATTTCAACGGCATAAAAAGTAATTATTTAGTCTTAAAACCTATCCAGGAAGAATCAATGGTATAATTCACTGGGAGTCCACTGCTACCCCAATGATCATGTCTCTGGTGATCTGAACCAACCAGTGGCTCTGTGGGGGAAAAATGAACAATCTACTTCCATGTGATTTGCAACCTCAGAAGTCCAATGGAAGATCAGCTCAATCAGTTCCAACTTGACAATAAGTCGAGTTATACCCAATTTTCATTTTAAAAGGAAAAAATTACTTTTTATTTCAGTTTCTGAGTTTAGGGAGCTAAACTGTAGCACAGACAGGAGGGAGTAGTGTTGCAAACTCAGAGTAGTGCTTCTCTGGCAGTTCAAATTCACTAGTGGCTCTGAGGGAGAAAAATGAGCAGACTCATCATCCCCTGTAACTTACAGCCTCAGAAAAACCTACTGGAGAATCAGCTATGAGTCAAGTCCACTTAAGAGCAATGAGTTTGAGTTTTTAAGCTTTCTGAGTATAAGGCTATAAATAGAGGACTGACATGTTTATTTGTTATAAAAATAAAACAATACTTGTTTCTCTTCAGTACTGTTGTTGTTGTTGTTGTTGTGTGCTATCAAGTTGGAACTGACCCACAGCTGGCACTCCAGTGGGTTTGCAGAGGCAGTAAATCGCAGTTGGAGGAGATTGCCCATCCTTCTTCCACAGAGCAGCTGGTGAATTAAAAAATGTATGCCCTAGTTTGAGGGGAGAGCATCTATGTGTTGTCAAATGGATCAGGTAAATTCTTGCCTTTAGTATTATTAAGTGCATGGAGACTGCTTCTTTTACAGTTTTAATCATTGTGGAAGAAGAAGGAAAAAAAAAAGTGGCAAGAGGGGAAAGGGTTGTGGGAAGAGAGGGCAGCCCAGGCTGTTGAAATTTTAGAAACTGGCAAATAACCTTTTGTGTAAACTCAATTTTAAGTTCAAAATGCTGAGAAGGCTCTTTTAATGCTTTTCGATTCCACAGCTGCTGCCATTTAAATGCTAATAAAGGATCTCTACAGTCTGAAAAAAAAATGTATGCCCTTTGGGATTGCCGTTCAGCTTCTTAGCACTAGGCCACTAGGGCTTTATTATTAAGTATATTAAAAAGATTTTGTGACTACAGAAAAATCATATGACAACCACAAAGAAAAAGAGTATCAACTGCAAATTCTGAAATAATAAAAGGGAAGTCACTATCCCTAAAATACATGGAAGTAAATATATTAATATGTTCTTCATTCATTTACTTCTATAATGGGCTATCTTATTTGATCCTCATTTGATGATATTTTTGTTTGAAAAAAAAAAATCAGTGACATTTCAAAAAAATAAAGTGTCATTGTAAAATACCATCTCACAAAAAGGGGAAGAAGTGAACATAACAAAAACTATGAGAAAAGAAATAGGAACTAGAAGTTGCTCTTTAAGAAGAAGTATTATAATCAAATACTCATGAATAAGTATTATAATCAAATACTCAGATACCCAAAGAATTAAATACACTAAAAATAATACTCTAAAGAATAACCTCAGACCAAATAAAATTCAATTAGAAGTTTACTATCTTTAAATTAAAATTTGTTGTGAGGTAGAACCGAGGAAGACTCAATCAAATGATCTGTATAATACAGAATTCAATTTATCTACAACATTTGTTGTTGTTAGTTGCCATCAAGTTGGAACTGACTCATAGCTGACCCTCCATCACGTTTTCTGAGGCTGTAAATCACATGGTAGGAGAATGCCCATCTTTCTCCCATGATGCAGCTGGTGGATTTAAATCAACTACTTCTCAATTGTCAGAACAACTCCTTATCCTCAAGGCCATCAGAGCTCCTCTATACAAAATAGCTGAAAATGTATAAACATTTAACATAGTAATACATAAAATATATCTTAACTGTTTTATTCCAATGTGAAACTATTGTGTACATGAAAAATCACATATTTCGGTGTTATGATAAAGAATATGAAATGAATTCTTATTAAAGTCCACTTATGCTTAATGAATAGCCTACAATTTTTACTTAGTATAAAATAAATAGCTTATTGCTATACTTACCAATATGGAATACAGAAATTTTGTGACAAAAACAACTTCAATGCAACCAACAGTTAAATTAACATGAACATCAGCCACATTCATATCTGTATATGCAGCACCAGCAGTTGCATCCACGTAAGAAATTATTTTGAAACTAAAAACTTCTTTTCCAGTGATATAAACAGCCTTCACAAGAAAAAAGAAATTACTACAATTCAATTTTACTATCATGTTTAAAATTTCAAAGTAAAAATAAATAACAAAGCCTACAAGTATATGTGAAAAACCTTCCAACTTTTCCACTATATTTATAATATCCCATTACAAATAAGGAAACAAGTCCAACACCTTTATTAAAACCTACAGTCTAAATTTTTTTCACATTTTTCATCTCTTTTTGTCGGCCATGACATCAATTTAACAGATTTGGCTCAGCATTTTATTTTTAATATAAGAGCATAGAGCCTGCAATATAATGCACCTTACTTAGTATGTGTATTTGCATATTAAGAGAAGATCTGTGCTTTCCTTGAATCATTGTAAAAAATGTATTAAAAGCACACTATGACACTGATGAGTCAAATGAGATAATGATTACCCATGGTGGACAGTGTTTGGTGGAGCTCCCCGATTAAAACAAGCTTGGAAGCAGGAGTGGCATCCACTTCCGTAATAGCTTGCCTCTGGAAACCCTATGAACCAACCTGGAGAAAGGATGAAAGTTACACAGGTGTCCAGGTTTTTCATTCATAGGGCTGCTGTGAGTTACCTACGACTCGACGGCACTTAACAACAACAACATACCTTAAAAAACACATGAAAATCTACTTTTATTCATTTGAAGTCTATGAAGAGGTTACCATAGTTCTTCAACAAAGTTGTTTCCTAATGCTATACTTGGGAAGTTTTGCTCCTTTTCTCCTTTCATTCCACATTAGTTTGTGAAACAGCCACACAAGCTGACAACTAAAGAGTTTAAAAATCTCAAGCTCTGGATTACAAGTTAAATTTGGTGAATTCTGGAATTAGCTTATAGCTTTCTTGACTGTCCTAAATGCTAAAGCAAGGGCACAGAACTGAAGAGCCATCAATAAGCAAACCAATTCCAAGTGCTAAACAAAGATCTGAGAGGCTTCTAAAGCTGATGTTTATGATGAAAATATATCTACAGGAGTTCTGAATCAATCTAAGAAGAATAAGAGGGCTACTTCAACTCAAAAAAATAGAAAAAGCAGATAAATGACACAATCTCTATGTTTTTGAAACGTTAAACTCTATGACAAAACAAGCACCTGAGAGAGGGTGAGCATAAGAACCAGTTCACCCGTGGAAGGAGATAGAAGACCCCAGGTTCTACAAAGGCTAAGTAAGAATTCAGTGAAAAAAGATAACCAATGGGTAGTCTAATGTGAGATCTAGAATCCATAAGGGAGCCAGCTACACAAGAAGCATTCACACTCGGTCAAAGGTACTTCACAGGCTCCACTGGGATCTCAGGAGACAGACTAGGAACAAAGCAGAAGAACAGAAAAAGCTTCTCATCTTACAAGCCTTCACTGCAGAAAAGGATCAAAGCTCCACAAGAATTATTATTTCACAACTTTTTGTTCTTCTTTTATGATTCTTTTAGAATTATTAAACACTAGGGAAAAGGAAACCCTACCCAAGTGAAGGGTCAATATCCCAAGAAAAAAGTTGGATGATAAATTCTTCAACTTACTGGGAAGAACAAGAAACCATCCTAGGACCACTAGGGTTCAATTCTGCTAAGTACAGGGAAGGATTTGATGTCCACACAGTGACCACCAAAGACGTGAAGTCAAATGCTATGTAGAAGTAGGGTAGGGCAAGGTTACCACAATGATCCTGAGACCTAGAAAGTCAAGGGCTGGCTAAGGGCTAAATGAAATCCATAGACCCTACCCTGCAACCCACAATTTGTCAACAAGCAAACAGAAACAGCCAGCGTCCTAGGGAAACAATTTAAGAGTATGGAAAGAGAGCTTTCAGAGGTGCACGTGAAGTCAAGAGCATGGAACAGAAACACTGCAAACCTCACCCCAGAAGATGGACCCAGGAAGATGGAGGCACATGTCCATCCAAAGGCACTGCAGATGAAAAGTTTGGTGATTCCATTCTAAACCAATAAGCCATGGAAAGTGTACTGAGTAGAGTTCTACTCTGACACACACAAAGGATAACCATGAATCACAATCAACTCCAAAGCAACTAGGACATTAAGACTTTCAAACCACTGTCTGGCATTATAACATTGATTATTTATACCATAAGGAGTTTTACATCTTTTGTTGATTACATTACACATAATACTAAATTAGTAATTTGGGGGGGAGGTATCAGAAATACCTTAATCTTTATAGTGATATCCCCTTTTCTCTGTTATTCTTGTTGTTATGTGCCGTCGAGTCGTTTCCGACTCATAGCGACACTATGCACAACAGCCCTAAACCCTGCTCTATCCTGCGCCAACCGCACCGCCTCTGACACACCCATCCCAATTATCCCAGTCACCGAATCAATCCATC